TTTATTTATTTCTTTTGTGGGGGATTAGAAATGAGCACAGTCTGAAGGTCCAGGTTCTACCGAGCAATTTATGGGATTTGAATCAGTATCCTCTTCAGATCTACTTAACAGTGGGCACAGCAAAGTCCTCAGCCCTCTTTTCCCTTGCTGAGATGGCTCTGAGGACATCACTTCTTAGAGGGTAAGAGCCATGGAGATGTTGAGTGCCAATTATTTATTTCTTTTGTGGGGGATTAGAAATGAGCGCAGTCTGAAGGTCCAGGTTCTACTGAGCAATTTATGGGATTTGAATCAGTATCTTCTTCAGATCTTCTTACAGTGGGCACAACAAAGTCCTCAGCCCTCTTTTCCCTTGCTGAGATGGCTCTGAGGACATCACTTCTTAGAGGGTAAGAGCCATGGAGATGTTGAGTGCCAATTACTGAATGCAAACAGTTGCTTGAATCTAGCTGAATATTAGGTGATGAATAATGTTTCTTGACATACAAGGAATCCTAGGGTCTCTAAAAACCTGAACCGCTGATTGTTCTCCCGTGCAGAGAAAGTGCTTTTCCACCGTAGAGCTAGTCAGCAGTTACTTGAAAAGAAGCATGACCTTAGATTTCATTACTATCAAGAGGAAACTGAAAATGTTACAGATCCAATAACGGCTGTGGAGTTAAAAGGGAGCTGTATGTTGACTGCAGACCTCGTGAAGCACCGATTCATCACTGCTGCCCGTTTATGAAGCCATGTGCTTCTTGCCCTTATATAGCAGAAGTATTTTATTTATCTTTCCAATTGAATATGCTAGGAGAAATAAATTCATCTATTTTTATTTCGTTGAGTTGGCCTAGGTTCCAAAAAAAAATGACATGCCCAACATGTCATCCTTTATTTGTTCACGAGAAGAAAGCTTTTGATGCCCTTTGCCTTCACGAACTGGTTACCTAGAAAACAATTCAGCTTTGAGTTGAAACTCCCATGTAGGAAAGGGAAGTCATAAAGCTGGCTAGAGTGAAAGAAACACTGATTTACCTAATACTAGTTGGTTAATGCCAAACAAAGGTTTATTGCATCTCAAAGTCTTCTTTTGGCGTTAACCAACTAGTATCATGTACTAATATCGACCAACAAGAGACAAGAGGAAAGGAATTAGGATGCTGAAGAGGTGGAGAATGGGTTGAACTTTTAGGAAGAGTAGGTTCCTTTTAGGAAAACTCTAAACTTTTAGGAAAATCTGATTTAGTAGAATCAGACGTTGTGGTGGGGGAGGCTTGATCAGAGAGAAGAAATCTCATGGTTCTTAAAATTAGGAAGGGCTGATTGAATGAATGAAGAAGGAAACAAATATTATGGAAGTTGGTCAAAAGTAAACCACTCAAGGTCATTCTTTTAGGGTCCAAGACTGAGAAAGGGATTTGGTTTAATTACCGAAACCACAACTCACTGTTCCAAAATTATGGAGCTGGGACTGTTCGCTTTAAAATAACATTTGTATCAGATGTCTGCTAGTGATGATCAACCTGAAAATGTCCACATTGTTCTGATCCCCAATTCCAGCCTCCCTCATTACCAACCATATAGTGATTGCATGGAAATCACAACAGGGTAACATCTAGAAGTCTTTTTAAGTTCTTCACCCCTTGGCACAACCTTAGAAACAATTCCTCCATGGGTGTGCCTTGTGCCTACCCATGCATGCCCCACGATTGATGGCATCAAGAACCTTTCGTGACACTTAAAGCAGGAGGCCACCAAAGATCATGGGGTGGTTTTAGAATGAGAGAGAGGTTGAAGTCAAACGCATTGGGGGAAGGCTACTTTCCCCATTTTTCCATAAATATCTTGTCTATGTCTGCAGACTTTGGGCTCCCTGGAGCCTACTGAAATATTCCCCCGTTTATGCAGTGGTGCCACTTTGGCTGGAGCAAGCAGGGAGTGCCCAGCCCACATCCTAGAAATAGAGAAAATCCTGCCAGTCAATCTGTCTCATTTGAATCTGCTTGGGTTTTGTGTTTGTTTTTTTGAAAGTGTAGCCAGGTGATGCCATCTAGGTGGGGAACGGATCCCGAAGAATGAACAGTTGCATTCATTCTGCAGGATAAACAAGCGTGCAGAATGCCAACCAATTTCCAGAGGGTGTTGACCACATTTTATCCACTGGGTGGTTTCTGTAACTTGGCCCTATAATCTTTGGCAGTTCTCCCTCGTTTGCTCCACTGTCTTTTCGATTCCATCCCTTTCCTTGCTAGGACAGCCCTCTAAATCCTTAAGGAGAGATACAGGTTAACTGTAGAAGAGAAGAGCCAAGGTGGCGCAGTGGTTAAATGCAGCACTGCAGGCTACTGCTAGATCAGCAGTTCAGC